ATCCACACGCCTCGGCCTCCCAAAGTGTTGGGATTATAGGCGTGAGCCACTGCGTCCAGGCAAGCATCCTCTTTAACGTCTTCTGAGAGCTGTTACTCATCAGACACCCTCATGCACGCTCCGAGGACCGCATTGGGGGTACTGTATACAACATTTACACAGAGCTTCACAGTGGTTGAGCACTCTTCCATCCACTATGTGCCTTGCATCTCATGGCTGTGAGGCAGAGGAAGCTGTAGTTATTATTCTCCACAACTAACAGGGGTGGAGACTGAAATGCAGGAGGTTTTGTGGCTCACCTCAGACACAGCAAGGGCTGTGCTTTTAGTCAAGGGAAGCATTTTATATCATTTAGAAAGAGCCGATGGGTGGAGAGGGGAGCTGGGTGTATCGTCTCCAGAGAATTTCAGGCAGTTGACATCTGCCTCCTTAAACTGGAGACCAACCTCCTTCCTCCTAGGGGCAGTTTCCTCATGTCCTGAGCCTGCTGCCTCCTGCTCGCCTGCCAGTATATGGTCCCCAACCCCCAGGCCGTGGACCAGTGCCTGTCCATGGCCCGTTAGGAACTGGGGCGCACAGCAGGAGGTGAGCGGCGGGCAAGCAAGCATTACCGCCTGAGCGCTGCCTCCCGTCAGATCAGCGGCAGCATGAGATTCTCATAGGAGCGCAAAGCCTATTGTGAACTGCACATTGAGAGATCTAGGCTGCGCCCTCCTTCTGAGAATCTAATGCCTGATGATCTGAGGTGGAAAGTTTCATCCTGAAACCACCCCACCACCTGGTCCATGGAAAAATTGTCTTCCGTGAAACCAGTCCCTGTACCAAAAAGGTTGAAGACTGCTGCCCTAGACCATGAGCCCTTGACACAAGGGAGTGAGATCATCTTATCATCTACGTATCCCCAATTCATGCTCAGTAAGTTTCCTCCAAATGAGAGCACCAGACAACTGCCCCCCACCATCACGCTAAACACCTGTAGGGTATACATCAAAAGTCGTAGAGACCAGTGTAACTTTCACCCTGCAATTCTAGGTCTTAGATTTTAGACGTTCACAAACATCCATGCACAAGAAGGTTCACTTAAAGATCACTCCTTACAGTAAAAAAAATGGAAATCAGCCACACATCCAACAAAAAAGATCTTTTAAAATCTTCAAGATAACAATGGAATACTATATAGCCACTAAAGCTGCCACTGTAAGAATGTTTGCATTAACCTAGGAAGACTTCTGAGACATCTATTGGGTTAAAAACCTACAATCTAAAATAAGTACTTTATGATCACTTTAGTTACATGATATTCGTATACTCATATGTATTGGAAAAAGTTTAACAGGATATATGTCAGGGTACTAACAGCCATTATCTCTTGGTGGACAGAATTATGCTTTTTGGTGGGTTTGTAATGAAATGGATTGCTTCCAGTTTGGGAGGATGGGAGCTAATCACCCATGGGCTGGTAGGTGTCAAGAAGCTAGTCTAAGCCTTTTATGGGTCATAAGAACTTAAGATACCATGACCTGGAAGTGGGCAGACTTCATATTCATCTGGGACTTAGGTAATAGTATTAGCAACTTGTTACTAAAGTCTCAAACAAGTGAGCAAGGAGAATCATCAAGAACAAAGGCAAGTCCCTAAAGGTGATGCCTTAAAAAGGCAAAGCAAGGCCAGTGCAGAGGCTCACACCTGTAATCCTAGCACTTTGGGAGACCGAGACGCGTGGATTGCCTGAGCTCAGGAGTTCGAGATCAGCCTGGGCAACAGGGTGATACCCCGTCTCTACAAAAATGCAAAAAATCATTCGGGCGTGATGGTGGGCGCCTGTAATCCCAGCTACTCAGGAGGCTGAGGCACTAGAATTGCTTGAACCTGGGAGGCGGAGGTTGCAGTGAGCTGACATGATGCCACTGCACTCCAGCCTGGGCAAGAAAGTGAAACTCTGTCTCAAAAAAAAAAAAAAAAAGAGAGAGAAAAGAAAAAGGCAAAGCAAAACAAAACAAAACCTCGGAACCTCAGAAAGGAATAAAAAAGCCTAATGTAATGATAACTGCATATATAGGAACTGTAATGATTCATTAGTTTAACACACCACCAACTTGTCTCAGGAGCAGAATAAATAGACCCTTTTAAAGATGCTTCTCTTAAAGGTTGAATACTCTTCCCTACTTCTCATTTTTCTTTCATCAAAATATTTTATGAAAATGTCACATCCCAGCAGAAGATAATTTGCAACTTATATCAACAAAAAATTAGTATCCAGAATATGTAAAGAATTTCTACCCATCAGTGAGTAAAGCATCTCCTCTCTTCCTCATGCCCCAAAACAGGAAAGAGGGAAAAGGTGCTAGAGATATAAACAAACAATTCACAGAAGAAGCAACACTGATGGCGAATCAACATATGCAAAGGTGTTTAACCTTCCCAGCAATCAGAGGGAGGCAAATGCCTGTTATTTCACCCCAGCCACATGGAAACTTCTTGGTCAACCTGATAAAAGCATTCACTGGTAACAATATGAGGAAGTAGAATCCTCCAACACTGCTGGTGGAATATAAATTGGTTTAGACACTTTGCAGAGCAAGTTGCCAAAGCTAGTAAAGTTAAAGATACATATGACTGGCAGTTCCCCTTCTAAGTACACCCCAGACCTAGGCGAATTCTCACATAGGAGAATCTCACAAGAAGAGCCACAGCAGGATATGTGTGTGTGTGTGTGTGTGTGTGTCTGTGTGTGTATGTGTATGTTTAAAAGAGCATAAATGTGGAAGCAATCTAGCTGTCCTCCATAGGAAAATGAACAAATTATTGTCATTATATGTAACAAGTAAAATGAATGAACTAGATCTACATAAATCAATATGGATAAATCTCAAATCTATAAGGTTGGACAGAAAACGAGTTACAAACGAATCTGTAGAGTGTAATACAATTTATATAAAATGTAAAACAACACAAAATGATGACAGGTTATATAAGCTAGACAGGCTTGCACATGCTGAAAAAGTGTACAATAACACTGCACATCAACTTCGGGATACCTTGGGAGGAAAGGGGAAGGATACAAGGGATGACTGGCCCCTAAAATAACTTAGAATTAGCCCCTAGAAAACACTGTGTTAGAAAGAAATGTTCATAGAACTGCAGGAAGATGGAAAGAGATCAGACGTTGGTGATGCCAGGAAACGTACTATCACGTTCAACATCCATGACTCCAGACCTGGATTCTGTTCATATTCTATCCCAGGAGGACAGACATGAAGTTTCTGAGTAGACACTTACCACTGCCCGGACTCACAGAGACCATTCATAATGGCACTGTAGGAGCAACATGGCGGCAATAAATGTTAAAAATAGGCCCTTCACCATCGACTCTGCCTTTGCTCCACAGCCTCACCTGCGTCTGTGCAGCCATCTGGAGTTCTAAGAGCCCTCAGGCCCACAACCCCAGTGCAGGCACAGGGTGTCCTTTATGCATCCCAACTGAGTCTGACATGTTATGGATATTCAGCCCATGTTAACTGGTGATGGTGGATGGTGATCATGAAGAAACTCAAGCTTCACTGGAGTACATACAACTTTAGACAGCAGCAAAACATTGGGCCACCTAGGGAGCAAGCTGTTGAAGGAGCTCAGGGGAAGTTATTTTGAGCTCAAAGCAGTGTTCCGTTACTGAGCATCAATAAAGCACCAGCTTCCCATTAAGGGTCTGACTTCAGGCTGGCTAAGGCATGCATGGCTTTTCTTAAACTAACTCCTAAAGGGACCAATTACTGGTCCAAGGTTGAAAGGATGGAGAAGCTCTTCCTTCTGATAAAAGGAGAGAGGATTTTGCATGCTCTGTGTCTTTTGCAGTGGCCACTGGTGGAACTCTACTCTCATCACATCAGTTGAAGATATTATTAGCAGAAAGTCACACTAATTCTGCTCATTCCCTGAACACCTGGAATAAGATCTTTCAGTTAATAGTTAACCCTATTTTTTGAGGGCCCACTGTGTACTGAGTCCTGGGCTGAAGGATGTCACAAGTTAGGTAAAGGAAAGAAGGCAGCCACTTTCACAACATACCTGGGGGTGGGCTTAGGGATCCTCAGTTGTGATCTCCAGGGGCCACCTCAAGGCCCCATCTCTACCGGTTCAGATCAACAGGGTTATGGTGCCATAGCAACGGCGACCACAGCAATGACAATGACAACCACAGATACACATCCTTTTGCCGCCCCAGGCACTGCCAAGACTCTTTATATTAACTTACTGAATATGTTAACTCATGGTTAACAGCCTGTATCATCCAGAAAGGTCACCTCCCCATTTATCTGGATTCACCCAACAGATTTGTTAATCCTCAAACATCACCCACCTGAGAGCAAGGCAGTTAATACTGAGGACCTTGAGTGACTGCATTCAGACTCAAGGACACGTATTGAGTTCCTGCTGTAACTCGTGCACCCTGCCAGCTGCTTTCTCATATTCTCCCACATGCTTCTTGTGACCCAGAGGGGTAGACACCGTCACCTTCATTTTACACAAGACAGGAACCAAGCCTGGGAGACATTTAATAACGCCCTCCAGGTTCCAGTCTCAAGAACAGGGAGCTGGATTTCAAACTTAAGCTGCTGGCTCCCTGCTCCGTGGCTCCCCACTCCACATTGCTGGTGCCACGGGGAATGGGGAGGTGCGTCCTTGGGTGGAAACCCCTGCCTGGTGGTCAGCTAAGACATCTGTGAGGCCAGCTACAGTGGGTTAAGGAGTGGTCCCAAGTCTTAATCCCCAGTACCTGAGAACGTGACCTTATTTGTGCTACAGGAACTAGAAAGAAATTACTTAGGCAGTTAGCGAGGGTGAGAGAGTCCTCAGTAAGGTTTCTCTTTTAACAAAAAGCAGCCCCCGAATCATTTCTTTTCTAGCAGAACAGCCTGTAAAATCGAGCTGCAGACATACATAAGCAAGCTGGAAGCTTGCACGGGTGAATGCCGGCAGCTCTGCCAATAGGAAATGGCTACCTGGGGGCCAGGTGTGTTCGACACGGAGGGTCCATCTTCCCTTTTGTCAACCAGGTGTGCAGTGAACAAGCAGGCAACAAGCGCTGGCCAGGCAGAGAACCCACCTGCATAACAAAAGATTAGGGTGGGGCAGCCAGCTTCTTCGTATGTTATGCAAATGGCACACCTATCTGACCAATCATTTGGGCCCTATGTAAATCAGACACCGCCTCTTCACGCTCATCTGTAAAACTCCCCCCCGTGCATTTCACGATGGAACTGGAAGACCCACTCAGGAGCCCCTCTCTCTCTGCAGGAGACAGAGCTTTCCTCTTTCTCTTGCCTATTAAACTCCTGCTCTTAAACTCACTCCTTGTGTGTCCGTGTCCTTGATTTCCTTGGCATGAGGCAACGAACCTCAGGTATTAACCCAGACGAACAACGCCACTTCATCTAGAAGTAAGGTTTTTGCAGGTGTAATTAAATAAAGACCTTGAGATGAGATCATCCTGGATTTAGGGTAGGCCTCAAGTCCAATGACTGGTGTCCTCAGAAAGGCGAGGGGGATTTGACAGAGACAAAGGGAAGAAGGCCGTGTGAAGACAGTGTCAGAGAATGGAATAATGCGGTCACAAGGCAAGGAACAGCGGAAGCCACCACGAGCGGGAAGAGGCCAGGAAGGATCTTCCCCTGAGACTCTGGAGGGAGTGTGGCCCTCCTGACATGTTGATTTGGAACTTCTGGGCTCCTGAACTGTAATACAATAAATTTCTGTTGTTTTAAAACTACCAGATTGGCCGGGTACGGTGGCTCATGCCTGTAATCCCAGCACTTTGGGATGCCAAGGCAGGCAGATCACCTGAGGTCAGGAGTTTGACACCAGCCTGATCAATATGGTAAAACCCCGTCTCTACTAAAAAAAAACACAAAAATTAGCTGGGCGTGGTGGTGGGCGCCTATAGTCCCAGTTACTCAGGAGGCTGAGGCAGGAGAATTGCTTGAAACCGGGAGGCGGAGGTTGCAGTGAGCTCGAGATCAAGTCACTACACTCCAGCCTGGGCCACAGAGTGTGACTTTGCTCCTCATTTGCCTTCTACCAAAAAAAAAACAAAAACAAACGAACAAACACAAAACAATAAAAACTACCAGATTGTGATAATTTGTCACAGAAGCCCTAGGATGCTAAGCCACCAACCTTTACCTCACAGACTTGCTTGAAGCCGAGCCAGGACAATGCGGGGGAAGGAAGAATGCAGAGGACAGACAGGACTCGCTCGGACTCATGTCCCAGCGCGATGATTCTTCCTTTCTGCCCACCCAACAGACTTCTGCTGTGAACTCAAACCAAAATCAACCCAGGAAACTAACAGCACAAAACGCCAGCACTCTTCAGAGGCATGTTACCAGTGTCTTAGAATAGTCTTACCTATTAGAGGGTTTAGGCTGTGGGTCTTAATTTTATGACACTTAGCTGCACAATGTTTGATTGCAGTGAAGATAATTTAGTTTAGAGACAGACTGTAACAGCTTCAGGCTTTTTCCCCTTTTTAAAAGGCAAATCCATCTTTAAAAAAAAGAAAAATACTTATCATCTGTAATCCCACCACCGTAACATAATTATTTCTCATTTTCAAACATTGCTCCATTCAAATAATATTTTCCTCTGCTTCTAACTAAGCAAAATGATACTCTTTTTTTTTTTGGTTCATTTAACTAAACATTAACCCAGGAGTTGTTTGGTTTCCATCAAAGGTATGTGAGACCAGCACTATAATTATTTAAGAATATTTCCCTAAAGGAAACTAACCATTAACTGTGACCTCCTTCAGGACATCACTTTAATTCTCAAAGGAATAAATTCATTCTGCAAAGCACTTAAGACTTGATTGTCTATTCTTAACCCCTGCATTTCAGAATTTTTCTGAGTAACAGAACAGTAAAACATTAGCTCAGGGTTAGATGTCTAGAGCTATTAAGAAGAGGACAATGAGATACGACAGAAAATAATCAAATCCTAAAACAATGCCCATGAGATTCCCCGCAACAACAAATCTGTCATTTAACATGTAACTTCTCTAATCTAGAGGTCATATACCTGGGAACCTCAACTATCATTAGAAAGCATCAGAACCACGCAATATGTTTGGAGTGAAAACAAAAAAATAATGATAGCAAATATTTACACAGTGCTTCCTGGACTGTTTGAAATGTTCTCACACACTAATTCACCAAATCCTCACAGCAACGATACAGTAGGTGCTATTTCTCCCCATTTCACAGAGGAGGAAATGGAAGAACAGAGAAGGTAAGTAACATGTCACAGGATGCACATAACATAAATGGCAGGGGCTGGGATTCCACCAGGCTGTCTGGCCCCAAAGTCCATGCTGCTGACTTCCTAGGTCACACAGGGCTCACGCTCAGCTGAGGGTAGGGTGGAATGCAGGGCTCCTCTGGCTTTAGACAGTTTTAATCAGCCTACCTATCTGAAACAGCAAGGTAGAGTTGGTAGAGGAGCTGACCTGAAGGTAGGCTAGGTGACGGTACAGCTCACATCCTGGTGGCCACTAGGGGAATAGAAAACTAGACAAACTACAGGTTGAGAGTCCTGTGTTAGTCTGTTCTCACGCTGCTAATAAAGACATACCCAAGACTAAGCAATTTATAAAGGAAAGAGGTTTAATGGACTCACAGTTCCACAAGGCTGGGGAGGCCTCACAATCATGGCAGAAGGCAAATGAGGAGCAAAGTCACATCTTACATGGTGGCAGGCAAAGAGAGCTTGTGCAGGGGAGCTCCCATTTATAAAACCATCAGATCTCATGGGACTTATCCACTACCATGAGAACAGTATGGGGGGAACCACCCCCATGATTCCATTATCTCCACCTGGCAACACCCTTGACACGTGGGGATTATTACACTTCAAGGTAAGATTCGGGTGGGGACACAGCCAAACCACAGCAAATCCCAAATCCAACAATGTGAATCTAAAACACATCCGGTTCCAAGCATTTTGGATAAGGATATTCTACCTGTAGCACAGAAGTCCCTGAGTTGGGGGTAGTTGTGGGGAAAAGAAAGAGAGATCAGACTGTTACTGTGTCTATGTAGAAAGAAGTAGACATAAGAGACTCCATTTTGTTCCGTACTAAGAAAAATTCTTCTGCCTTGAGATGCCGTTAATTCGTAACTCTACCCCCAACCCTGTGCTTGCAGAGACATGTGCTGTGTTTATTCAAGGTTTAATGGATTTAAGGCTATGCAGGATGTGTTTTGTTAAACAAGTGCTTGAAGGCAGTATGCTTGTTAAAAGTCATCACCATTCTCTAATCTCAAGTACCGAGGGACACAAACACTGTGGACAGCCGCAGGGACCTCTGCCTAGGAAAGCCAGGTATTGTCCAAGGTTTCTCCCCAGTGATAGTCTGAAATATGGCCTCGTGGGAAAGGAAAGACCTGATCATGTCCCCCAGCCCGACACCCGTAAAGGGTCTGTGCTGAAGAGGATTAGTAAAAGAGGAAGGCCTCTTTGCAGTTGAGACAGAGGAAGGCATCTGTCTCCTGCTCGTCCCTGGGCAATGGAATGTCTCGGTGTAACGACTGTATGTTCTATTTACTGAGATAGGAGAAAACCGCCTTACGGCTGGAGGTGAGACGTGCTAGCAGCAATGCTGCTCCTTAATGCACTAAAATGTTTGTGGAGATGTTTGTATACATGCACATCAAGGCACAGCACCTTTCCTTAAACTTATTTATGACACAGAGATCTTTGCTCACATGTTTTCCTGCTGACCCTCTCCCCACTATTACCCTATTGTCCTGCCACATCCCCCTCTCGGAGATGGTAAAGATATTGATCAATAAATACTGAGGGAACACTTTTCTTTCCTATACTTTAGTCTCTGTGTCTCTTTCTTTTCTCAAGTCTCTCTTCCACCTGATGAGAAACGCCAGGTGTGGAGGGGCAGGCCACCCCTTCAGGGTAGTTAATACAAAAGTAAAGTATCCCTCTTAGCCAAGAATGCCTACAGCCATTTCCATGGGAAGAGGAGAAGGAGCAATTACTATATACGAGGCAAATGCTGGCCATAGTGCATACAAGACCTCAGTAGAGAGGATGTCATAAAAAAGGGTGATATTCAGAATGTTTAACAACTGCCACAGCCTGAAAGCTGACCAACTAGGATCCTCTGTGACTCTCCAGATGGGGTTCTGTTCACAAATAACTAGTACGGCTATCCTGGAGCTACTGGTGAAATGTCCTTCCTATTATCCCTGTCCCATAGAAGATGAAACAGATCCAGAGAAGTTAAAACTTGCCCAAAGAGACACGGCAAAAGGACAGTGCCAGGGGTTCCATGTTTTTATTATACCATGTTGCCCATATTTACTAAGAAAATGTTCTCAGCTCATCCTGAGAATTTAAATCAGTGTTTAAAAACTTCAGAAAGATGGCCAGGCATGGTGGCTCATGCCTGTAATACCAGCACTTTGGGAGGCTGAGGCAGGTGGATCACAAGTTCAGGAGACCGAGACAATCCTGGCTAACACAGTGAAACCCTGTCTCGACTAAAAGTACAAAAAATTAGCCAGGCGTGGTGGCAGGCGCCTGTAGTCCCAGCTACACGGGAGGCTGAGGCAAGAGAATGGCATGAACCTGGGAGGCGGAGGTTTCAGTGAGCTGAGATCGCACCACCGCACTCCAGCCTGAGAGACAGAGCGAGACTCCGTCTCAAAACAACAACAAAAACACTTCAGAAAGATTCAAGTTTAAAAAGTTGGAAGAATAATATTTTGTGACAAGTAAAAATTATGTGAACTTCCCATCTCAGTGTTCACAAATGGAGCTTTTTTGGAGCACAGCCAGCCTCATTTGTGCATATATTGTCCAAGGCAGCTTTTGCATCCCAAGAGCAGAATTGAGTGGTTGCAACAAAGACCATATGCACCTGCAAAGCCGAAAATATTTACTATCTGGCCCTTGGCTGAAAAAGTTTGCTCACCACTGATCTACAACATTTACTTAGGAGAATCACTTTTTCTCTGGTGATAAAAAAATAAACAAGGCACTAATGTACTCATAAAACAATTTATAAACAACACAGTCATTTTAATTACTGCTAAATCCTAACGAGTGGCTCTGTGCCAAGCATGGTTTGACCCCGGATGGATAACCTTCCTCTCATGAGACTGTGAGACTGTCTTTCCACTTGTGTTATCTCTATTATTTCTAGGAACACGGGATAAATTGAGCACTGGGGGGGAAAGGGGGGAACCAAAACAAATCTCATCTTAAATGTACATCCTTTCTACACATTGTATGATTCCATTGGTAGAAAGCTCAAAAAACAGGCAAAATTAATCCAGGCTGTTAGAAGCGATGACAAAGGTTACCTTTGCAAGGAGTACAGTAAACAGAAGGGAAGCAAGAAGGACGCAGGGTGGCGTCATGTTCTGTTTCCTGATCTGGGTGCAAATGTGGGCATGTTTTGATCTTAAGTGTGTTCAGTTTGGCGAAAATCCATTTTACCGCACATTTACAATATTGTACTTTTCATGAAGTATGCATGTTTAAATGTCAGTAAAGTTTATATTAAAACACGGACAACTTTCTTATGTTTAACTACGTGGAAGCTGATGTGCTTGTCCTTGGATTGCTGAGACGCTAAGAATGCATGGAACCCTGGAGGCGGAGCCCACACATAGCTCAGTGTCTCATGTGGGACCACGTGGCTCTCAGGCCTATGTGGAGAGCCAAGAGGG